TGTTTGTTAGGTGGCAAAGATTTTGCTGCTATGACTCTATGAGTGCTCACCATAGCATATCTTGCCCTCCTGACTCCATCTTTAATGAAACTACTGTCATCAGTAAACCATTCTTCCTCAGGGATTTCTATGACCTGGTCTGTTAGGTCAGACCTATAGGCACAGTTAGAACTGGACATGGAACAACAGACTGGTCCCAAATCAGGAAAGGAGTATGTCAAATACGCCAAGGTGTCAAGGTATTGTCACCCTGCTTATTTAACTCATATGCAGAGTACATCATGAGAAACGCTGGGCTGGATGAAGCACAAGCTGGAATCAAGACTGCCGGGAGAAATATCAATAACCTCAGATATGCAAATGACACCACCCTTATGGCAGAAAGTGAAGAAGAACTAACCCGCCTCCTGATGAAAGTGAAAGAGGAGAGTGAAAAAGTTGGCTTAAAACTCAACATTCAGAAAACTATCAGGGCATCTGGTCCCATCACTTCATGGCAAAAAGATGGGGAAACAGTGGAAACAGTGACAGATTTTATTTTGGGGGGCTCCAAAATCACTGCAGATGGTGACTGCAGCCATGAAATTTAAAGACGCTTGCTCCTTGGAAGAAAAGCTATGACCAACCTAAACAGCACATTAAAAAGCAGAGACATTACTTTGCTAACAAAGGTCTGTCTAGTCAAGGCTATGGTTTTTCCAGTGGTCATGAATGGATGTGAGAGTTGGACTATAAAGAAAGCTGAGCGCCAAAGAATTGATGCTTTTGAACTGTGGTGCTGGAGAAGACATTTGAGAGTCCCTTGAACTGCAAGGAGATCCAACCAGTCCATCCTAAAGGAAATCAGTCCTGGGTGTTCATTGGAAGGACTGACGCTGAAGCTGAAACTCCAATACTTTGGCCACCTGATGGGAAGAACTGACTCATTGGAAAAGACCCTGATGCTAGGAAAGATTGAAGGCAGGAGGAGAAGGGGACGACAGAGGATGAGATGGTTGGATGGCATCACCGACTCGACGGACACGAGTTTGAGTAGGCTGCGGGAGTTGGTGATGGACAGGGAAGCCTGGTGTGCTGCAGTCCATGGGGTCAGAAAGAGTCAGACACTGAACTGAATGGGCACAGACCTGGTCAAGGGTTTTGAGGCAAGAATGTGTTAGCTCTTGGCTTTTGGTGGGCATTACTGTAGAGTGGTTAAGAGTGTGGTAAGTATTTTTTTTAAGAGTGTGGCAAGTATTTTTAATGTATAATTTTGTTTATTTATTTTTGGCTGTTCTGGGTCTTCATTGCTGTAGAGGCTTTTTTCTAGCTGTGGAGAATGGAGGTGATCTTGGTTGAAGTGTGCAGGCTTCTCTGCAATGCCTACTCTTGTTTCAGAGCACATGCTCTAGGTGAATGGGTTCAGTGGTTGTGGTTCCCAGGCTCTAAGCACGAGCTCAATAGTTGGAGCATGCAGGCTTAGCTGCTAAATGGCATGTGGCATCTTCCCAGACCAGGGATCAAATCTGTATATCCTGCACTAGCAGGTGGATTCTTTACCACTGAGCCACCAGGGAAACCCAACAGTGTGGCAAGTTTTGAGGGTTAGTTCTGGAGGGTCAAGGAGCAAAGCCGCTTAATATTACAGCCTCCAGTTAGCCAATGGTGGCCTTTTATCTCTAGCATCCCTTGTACTTGATGAGTACATATGCTTGATGAGGGGTCTGGCCTTCCAGGGGCTGTCCAAAGGTATGTTTGTTAGTTTCTTCCACTAAGAAAGTGGTGGCAGCTACTGTCCAGAGGCAGCCAGGCCAACCTCAGGCAATGGAGTCTAGTTGCTTGGAAAAGTAACCTATAGGTGAGGAATTTCCCCTAACTTCTGTATGAGGACTTTCAAGTCTGTCCCCTGCTTTTCAGCCACATATAAGATGAATGGCTTTTTCGAGGTGGGAAGACTGTGAACAGGGGCTCTGGTGAGAGCCTGCTCATTATCGTTAAAAATCTTCCTGTTATCCATTCCAAAGTACAGTTCTTCATCTGGGGCTTTAGTGGCTTCATATAGGGGCTTAACCATTAGCCCGATCTCTGGAATCCAAATTCTACAAAGTCTTGCCATGTTCAAAAATGTATGGAGGTGTTTTTTTGTCTTCAGAGTGCTTAGGCCTAACATAGCTTGTTTTCTATCTGGAGATAACTGTCTACTTCCAGGGTTTATACTATAATCCCAAATATTTAACCCATTGCTTTGAGATTTGTGCTTTTGTCCAAGAGGCTCTGTAACCCCAGGTCCCCAGGAAATTAAGGACTTAAATGGTATTTTGATCCATGGAGGGACTATATATTAATATATCAGCTACATGCTATAGAATAGCACCTTGTTTTAGGTGTGTTTCCCTTAGTTCCCTTCCCAGGGCCTGGGTGAACAAGTGTGGGCTGTCTGGAAACCTCTGAGGCAATATTGTCCAGGTATATTGTTGCATTTGGCCCAAGTCAAGGTTAGTCCAGACGAAAGCAAACAGATATTGTGATGAGAAACGAACTGGGATGCAAAAGAAGGCACCTTGAGATTGAGTAGAGTAAATGATTTAGCGTCCTCAGAGATCTGGGTTAATGTGTTGTAGGGATTGGCCATGAGGGGATGTACGGTGACCATTGTGTCATTTACCACTTTAAGGTCCTGTACCACGCTATGTTCCCTCTTTGGCTTAACAATTAGCAGAATAGGAATATTGCAGAGAGTCTGGCAGGGCAACAAGAGGCCATGCCTTAAGAATTTATCCATGAGAAGTTGCAAACCCTTCTTCGCTTCCAACTTTATAGGATATTGTCTCCTGCTAGGTAAGGCAGTTTCTGGCCTAAGGCTAATTCTTACAGGACGGGCATTTATGGCCCTTCCAGGGATTCTTTTGTCCTATACTGAGGGTCAACTGCTTGTAGAATGTGGTGGGAATAACACCTTGCTCTTCTGGCTGGTCTGTCTTAGAGTCAAGATAAGGAGCTACTCAAGGCCTCCAATTCATAGTGTGGTCTCGACCTCGTAATGGGGTGGGACATTCAAAAAGCCATGTGAAATCAACTACTGCTTTTACTGGCAAGTGAGAGACCCAGTAAGGTAGTGGGTGAGAGGCTTTCCATCAACACCAGTCACAGTACAGTTTTTGGAGGAAATAAGTCAATGTGAGAAATTAATACAGTAAATGATTCCTGTATCAATTAAAAAATAGACTTTCGTGCCTGCCCCTGCAAGAACTAGCCAGGGCTCCTCCATGGAGACAGACATCTCATTGTGGGGAGCTGCCAGAATCCCTGGGCTGTCTCAGTCATCCAGCATGGCCATCTCGAGAGCAGGAGCCCCCTTTTCCCTTCAGGACTGAGGGCATCCCCTCTTCCAATGACCTGTTTGTTGGCAGGCTGGGCATGGCCCGGGGAACTCTTTCTGGCAATCTTGGGCCCAGTGGCCAGTTGACTTGCATTTGTAGCATTCCCCCTCATTGGTCTTACCTCTAGCCAGATGGTTGGATTTTCTTGCCCTCTTAGATTGTCCCTGAGCTTGATCTCGATTATTAAATACCTCAAAGGCCACAGGTAGGAGCTGGGGCATGGGCATTTGTGGGCCAGATTGTAACTTTTGGAGTTTCTGCCCCAATCAGGGGCAGACTAGTTAATAAAGGGTTGTCCCAGAAAGGACTGACCTTCAGAAGTGAAGGGATCTATGTTGATATACATTTCCTAAATGGCTCCACAAGCTGCCTGTGAAAGGGGTCTGGGTTTTCTTTTCCCTCTTGGGTCACTCCTTTAAACTTTTCATAGTGAACTGACTTTTTGATAACACTTTCTCATCCCTTCTGATACACATTGGCTCATGTGCTTCCTGGCTTCTGTTCCCTCCCAGGAATTATGATTCCAAGGGGGCTCCTGGCTTAGGACTGCATCTCCACCCATAGTATAATGTCTGGGTTGGTCTCCAACAAGCTGGTCAGCGTGCCCTGGGCTGCTGTCTGGATTCTGTTCTTGCTCAGGGGTACAGTAAGTAGATAAAATGACTTGAACATCCTTCCAAGATAAATCAAAAACTGGAGTGAGGGCATGAAACCCTTCAACAAACTTACTAGGGTCTTCAGAAAATTGGCTCAGTTCCTGTCTGCATTGGGCTAAGTCAGTTCAAGAGAAGGGCACATGTACTCTGATTGTTCCTTCACCATTTGCCACTGCCTTGAGAGAGCGTAAAATTAGGATCCTGAGCGATAGGAACTCCAATGAGAGTTACCCCAGAGGGACTAGTCTCTGTTTCTTGGGCTAACAAAGGTTATGGAGGAACATAGGAAGGTGGAGTCCGAGACTAATCAGAGGGATCAGGAGAAGTAGGTGCCTCTGGGGCAGTGAGGGTTCTGTCAGAAGAAGGAGGAGCTGGGTTTTCCCTCTGAGAGACAGGAGAGCTTAGAAGAGGATCATATAAGATGTCAGGAGGGTCTTCTGGTCCTCCAGGTTTTAAATTACAAGAGTTGTATCAGGCAGGATTTTGGTTAAGCACCACAAAAGCCTGAATATAGGGATTCTCACTCCACTTTCTCATCCTGCAACAATAAAGATCCAATTGCAGAGTGGTATTATACATTAGAGACCCGTTTTTTAGGCCATTTTTCTCCATCCTCCAACTTACACAAAGGCCAGGCACTGCTACAGTAGAATTTAAGTTTTTCCTTTTTTAGCCCTTCAGTTAAAAAATTCCAATACTTTTTTTCCCCTCCAACCAGGCTTATTAAACATAACAAAATTCTGTATACAAGGTGACCTAAACCTGCTGCTTCAAAACATACTTTCTTTAACTAGTATTTGATAAATATTGATAGTATTCAATCCACAGAATGTCAAAAAGCAGCTTACTCTAAAATTAATAGAAAAGTGCCCAGTGCATACTACATGAATGGTCTAATTTCTGGAACTCTAATTGTCGTAGAAGATAATTAACGTAAGTATGACTGAGTCCCTGTGACAGGATGCTGGAGAACCAATATGAGTCATCAAGAGGCCATTTTGTGCACTGCCAGTGTGATGCCATCGTGTTTCTAATGTTCCCATCATCTAATTCTAGACATACCACAGGAATATCAGTGGGGTCTGAGGTTAGCTTAGCTGCTTGCCGGGCTAAAACAGATATCACCCCAGCACGCTCATCTGACAGGGTTCCGAGGCAGCCCAGATTGAGCCATTGTGAATCTGTGCATAGGACTCCAGCAGTGGATGGATTCTTCATTGTGTCCTCCAAGTACTGCTCTAAGATAGCCTCCATCCCACTGTGCATTGCCTCTTTCCTCGTCACTGGTGTCAGGTCAGAAGTTCTGATTCTCAAGCACACACTGGTATAAGTATATGCAGAGGTGTCTCTTCTGGCTCAGAGGGGGCTCCTCCCATGCTGAGTAACCCACACCTCAGAACAAGAGAGCACTCCTAGAATGGAATCCCGTGTCTCAGAGACATTTACCCGAAGGCTGTGACCTGGATATCAGGGCGTCCCCCAAATTCCCTTCGAATCTGATGGGGTTTCAAGCATCCTCTACTCTCCCAGTGATTTCTGACCAGACATCTCTGGCCCTCCTTTTGACATTGCGCAAGGTGCCTCCCCCAGCATAGCCAGAGGAGGACTCTTGAACTAGTGCAGACCAGTTGTCAGGACTTACCTTAGGAGGTATCCCTTGTCTATAGTGCTTATGTCCTATGATAAATCTTCCTAAGCTGCGGTGTGGGTTTCCCACACTAGTGGTAAAGAACCTGCCTGCCAATGCAGAAGATATAAAAGATATGGGTTCGATCCCTGGGTCAGGAAGATCCCCTGGAGAAGAGCATGGTAACCCACTCCAGTATTCTTGCCTGGAGAATTCCATGGACAGAGGAGCCTGGCAGACTTTGGTCCATGGAGTCTATAGAATTGGACACAGTTGAGTGACTTAGCACCCACTCATGCCTGCCCACTGGGGTGTATTCCTTGTGACTGAGCATCCACAGAGTTTGTAATTTAGGCTTCTGGGTAGTGGTCAGCCTGATAAACCATATCAGTGTGTATGCTGCCAAGGCCTGAGGTGAAAGGGAGTCCAGTGGATGCAAAGAGGAACCCTTGGAGAAATTGGAGCTGGGCACTATGGAAGATGGGCTTCCCTGGCGGCTCAGATGGTAAAGAGTCTGCCTGCAATGTGGGCGACCTGGGTTCCATCCCTGGGTTGGGAAGATCTCCTGGAGGAGGGCATGGCAACCCACTGTAGTATTCTTGCCTGGACAATCCCCATGGACAGAGGAGCCTGGCGGGCTACAGTCCATGGGGTTACAAAGAGTCAGACATGATTGAGTGACTGAGTGCAACACTCAGCAGTGTGGAAGATGGCACAGGGTCTGAGGCTTGAGGGCTGAGAGAGAAATTGTCATAGTAAATTTCTGAGGATTGAGTGAAACGAGAGACCAGACAGCAGCAGAACCACAAATCCTTTGCCCTGTCTGCCTGGCAGCTAAGACAGAATGGAATCTGTTTGAGACAGACAGTACTGGGTTTGACAGTGGTGGGGCTGCAGTTTAGGAATGACATCCTAAACTCCTTCCCTAAAAGAGCTAGGAGATAAAATGTGGAAAGATACCTGCTTATATGAGTCAAATGGGAAAGAATAGTGGAGGGTTCCACATGGGACAGTGAAAGAATGGAGTGAGACTGCTTGGGTTCAGAAATCACGTTTCCACCACGTCCCAGAGGACAGCGTTAGCTGTCACCATTATTTGAATCTGCAAGGCCTGGGGATTCCCTTGCCAGCCACAATGTTGTTGGGGGGACCCATAATGCTGTGAGCAGACAGATCACACCTAGCATTATCTTGAAAAGAAAGCAAAGGGGGAGAGCAAGAGAAAGAAAGCAAGAAGTAAGTTAGGGGCCTCAAACCACAGCCAGGTGAAGCCTGCGGTTTACCGTGATTTCCTGAATTCCTAGTTTTCAGCACCAGTTTTACTTCTTCCTTTCCAATACATTTTATTTCTTCTTGTTGCCTAATTGCATTAACTAGACCATCCAGTAAAATGTTGAATAAGTGATTGTCTTACTTTGAACCACTTTTCCCTTCCTTGCATAAATCCTTGCCTTTCTGGCATAAATCCCGTCATGTCATAGAATCTTTGGAATGTGCTTTTGGATTCAGTTTGCTAGTATTTTGCTGAAGATATTTGTACTTGTGCTCATAAAGGATACTGATCTATACAGTTGACACTTGAATAATGTAGGGATTAATGGCACTCACCCCCTGGGGAGATTGAAAATCTGAGCATCACTTCATAGTTGACCCTCCCACTATAAAGTGGTTCTGTATCCATGGATTTAACCAAACTGAGGGCACGTAGTACTGTGGTATTTATTGGAAAAAAAAAAATCCATGTATAAGTAGACCCCAATAGTTCAAACCCAAGTTGTTTGGGTCAACTGTATTTTCTTTTCTTGTTATATCTTTATCTAGTTTTGTATCAGTAATGCTGGCCTCATAGAATGAGTTAGGAACTGTCCCTCATCCTCTATTTCTTGATATAATTTGAAAAGAATTGATGTTAATTCTTTAAATTTTGGTAGAAGTTACTAGTGAAGACATTTAGGTAGTCCTGGAGTTTTCTTTGTTGGGTGTTTTTGATTATTGCTTCATTCTCTTTACTTGTAATAAGCCTATTGAGATTTTGTTTTCTTGAGGATAGTTTTTTTTTCTCCAATTTGTAAGAATTTGTTCTTTTCATTTAGAATATCTAACTCATTAATTGTTAACTAACTGGCATATAATTGTTCTTAACATTCTCTTATAATCATTTTTATTTTTGTCAGGTTAGTAGTAACAACCCGTTTCATTCCTGATTTTAGTTATTTAGGACTTTTTTTTGGTTGTTAGTCTAGCTAATGGTTTCTAATTTTTGTTGATCCTTTCAAAGAACCAATTTTTACTTTTGTTGATTCTCTGGGTTTTCTCTGTTTCATTATTTTCATTCATATATATTTTCTTCCTCCTGCTATTTTTAAGTTTAATTTGCATCTTTTTTGGGTTGCTCAGCAGTAAAGAATCTGCTTTCCAATCCAGGAGATGTGGGTTCAATCCCTAGGTAAGAAAGATCCCCTGGAGAAAGAAATGGTAACCCACTCTGGTATTCTTGTCTGGGAAGTCCCATGGGCAGAGAAGCCTGGCAGGCTACAGTCCATGGGGTTGCAAAAGAGTTGGACATGACTTAGCAACTAAACAACAACAATACTGATTTGAGATCTTTTCACTATTTACTGTGTTTACTGCAGGCCCTGAGCACTGCCTTTGTTGCATCCCCTGTTCATGAAAGACATAATATTGTTAAGATGGTGGTAATCTCTGAACTATTCTATATATGGATACTCTATATGGATATCCATTTTATATATGGATATTCTATGTATGGAAAGTGTATCCTCCTTCATATAGAGTTTACAAATGCTTAGTTTTGTTGTTGGTTAGTATTAATGCTTAAATATTCAGTTTACTTCATTGCTTTGTTGAAGCTCTTTGGGCATTTTCTTTCAGTTGTGAAAAGTTTTTGATTATTAGCTCATTCCCTTTACTTGCAATGTCTGTTCAAGTTTCACTTTCTTCTTGATGCAGATTCAGTAGTTTTTGTCTAAGACTCTTATGTCATCTAGGTTATCTTAGTTCATTGACATAAGGTTCATAGTATTCCTTTAAAATCCTTTGTATTTCTATAAGGTCAGTGATGATGTCCCCTCTTTTATTCCTGATTTTGTTCATTTAAGTCTTTTTTCTCTTTTTCACTCTGTCTAAATGTGCATAAATTTTAATTCATCTCTTCAAAAAACCAACTTTTAGTTTGATTTCCTATATTGTTTTATTTCATTTTTTTCTGCTCTAATTTTTATTTTCCTTCCTCCTCTTGCTGTGATTTAATTTGTTCTTCCTAGTTTTATAAGGTTCATTTTTAATATAGGCCTTTATGAATATAAATTTCCCTCTAAACAAGGGCTTAGTTTATCTCATAAATTTGGTAATATTTTCATTTTTATTAATCTCAAAATATTTCTTAATTTCCTTGTGATTTCTTCTTTTAGCCATTATTTAGAAGCATATTGCTTAGTTTCCACATCATATTTTCCTTTGTTACTGATTGCTGATTTCGTCCACTGTGGTGGAAGGACGTATTTTGTATAATTTCAAGCCTTTTAAATTTAATATCATCTCTTATGGCCTAATTTATGTCTGTCAACATCTCTATGCATTTGAAGTAAACATATATTCTTGTGTTCAGTAGAGTTTTCTATAGATATTTAGTCCGGTTGGTTTGGGCTTCCCAGGTGGTGATAGTGGTGAAGAACCCACCTGCCAGTGAAGGACAGTAAGAGACATGGATTCGATCCTGGTTTGGTAAGATCCCCTGAAGGAATGAATGGCAACCCACCCCAGTATTCTTGTCCGGAGAATTCCATGGGCAGATGAACTGGGATGGCTACAGTCCATAGTGTTGCATAGAACTGAAGTGACTTAGCATGTATGCATGCATGCTGGTTGGTTTATAGAACTTTTTAACTCTTCTATATCCTTATTGATCTCAAGTCTATTTGTTTACCCTTACTTAAGCTTTATCTTTCTTTTCCTCAAATTGGAAAATCTCAACTGACCAATCTTCAAATTGACTGATTCTTTATTCTACCAGCTCAATTCTGCTGTTCAGTATTTTGATCATTTTTTTTTCATTTTAGTGATTGTGCTATGATATCCATAATCTGTTTTTAAAATAATATTTCTCTACTTAATTGATATTCTCTATTTGTTGAGGCCCAAAAGTTTCTTGAAGGAAAGACTGCACTGGAACTAAGTGAATATTTGTGAATGTACATCTTGCTACCATGGTCCTTTATACTTTCCAACAATAAATGTTAACAGAGATGAAGGCCCTAGTCACTACGTACCCCCATCCAGGGTATTATCAGTAAGGGCTTGTAATCCAAATTTGATTCCAACACCAGGAACATAGGCATCACCTGGGAGCTGGTTAGAAATGCAAAATCTCAAGTCCCACTCCAGATTCCCAAATCAAGCTGAATTTTAACAAGGTTGGGCTTCCCTGGTAGTTCAGCTGGTAAAGAATCTGCCTGCAATGACAGAGACCTGGGTTTGACCCCTGGAGAAGGGAAAGGTTGCCCACTCCAGTATTCTGGCCTGGAGAATTCCATGGACTGTATAGTCCATGGGGTTGCAAAGAGTCAAACATGACTGAGTGACTTTCACTTTCACCTCCCACACACAT